CAGTGGGTAGGGCACTTACCTGAAAGGGGGGGGGACAATCTTGTTTAAATCCTCTCTCTTCCCCCCCCATTCAGACAGAGGAGGGAACTGAACCTGCGTCTCCCACATCCTCAGTGAAGGCTCTAAACACCAGGCTAAAAGTTATAAAGGAGGCACTTGCAGCATCAACTCCTCCAGCCATTTCTTGCAAAGAATGGCTTAGTCACTTATCTCTGGGTGAGGGTTTCCCTGCTGTAAATCCCAAGCAGAGGGAGGCATCTACAGCTTGTATTTGGGGGCCTAAATTCCAGAGAGAGGTGGGGCTTAGAAGTACTGACAGAAGGGTGTGTCCTATCGGCTCACTTTAGCAGGGGGCTGACTAGGATGCTTGCTTTTGTGGCACCTAACTCAGGCTTTGTGGATTTCAATGATTTTCTTGGTACCTAAAAGTTGGGCATTGCAACACAAAGACCAGTTGTACATCTGGGGCTAAGCTCTTTCTAGGGTGCTCCAACATTTAGAAGATTGAGACAAAAGGAAAATGGCTCATCCTGCACCATAGACTGCACTACTCAATTAAAAAAACCCTTCACAATAGCTTGAAAAAGGCCTTGTTTTCATGATGCAGGTAGAAACTCTTATATAAAATAGCAAAGGTTGCAGGACATACCTATCCTGGTAGCATATTGATAACCCAACATGGGTTAACCCCAGTAATAACTTGCTTTGGGCCTCCTCCTGATCCACCCTGCAACGAAGTCATAATTGTACAGTTGTCATAACCGTTATTACAGCTTGCTGTCATGGAGATTGCAATGTGACAAAGAACATTGTAACTTCACTGCAGGCCAGGCTGAGAAGCAACAAATGCAAATAGCTTCCTGTCATTTGTAAACAAGGCAAGAAAAATTGCACGTGAAAAGTAAATTGAGAATTGTGCACACCTAATATATTTGGCACCGATTCTTCAAATCTTAGGTTTAAAGCACTATGTCATCTGTCTTCCTACGTTAAATATATTTCAAAAAAGGATCTACAGGAGGTCTTTCACTGGAAGTTAAGCAGCTGTTGCAAAAGTGAAAGTGTGGCATAAATTCCTTGCCACCCCACAGACCTTGACAATTTTACTATAGTGCAAACACAATATCTACAAATACACAGCATGTATATATTTTTAAGAATTAAGCTTTTTTAAAACAGGAACACAAGGGAGTTTAAGAATCAGTTTATTATTTATTTTTTTACTACTTTGGTAGTACAAAAATCTTATACAAACCATATTGTTAAAAATACAGTTGATGTGCAAGATTAAGAAAAACTGACTTCAAAAAGTTTAGGTTTATTTGGTTTCTTGATGATGACAATGTTTGTACCACTGAAAAATGCTGTTAGTAGTGTTTGTTATATACAATAAGATCACACATTCACCAAATTCTTTTGCTAAAGTGGCAATACACATTTTACTTCCCACAAACATTAGCTTTATGTACATAAGTAGAAATTCATGTTTAATAATTACTGGATAATCTCAACTAATAAGATTTTACACGTTGAATGTACTGGATATAACATTTTTGCATATTTCTAATGGAATCAAAATAGCAATTATTGTTAAATTAAGTAAAAAATAGCATATATATTAAACATTTTCACTCGTTTGAGCATATTTACTCACAGTGTTAAGCAACAATTACTAAAATGTACTCTCATCAGAACAAAATCTCAATTTTTAAAGTTTTTGGGATACTCTACAATTGTGCATCTTCATATTCAAAACAATGAACTGTTTAGTTTGGCTGCGTAAGTACAAAACAACTTTCACTCTAGAGTCCACATTTTCATCCAGTAATTTTAATATTAAAAATACTGTCACATATGTACACTTCAGTTACCTATTCTCACAATATCCTGAAATCCTGAAATTAATATACTGGCACTATTTAAATTCCTTCTGCATACATTTTAGTATGCTGTAGAGCTGTTCATGAAAACAGAGTGAAATCTGCAAACCTAAGGGGGGAAAAAAGTAGGCCAGGGATTTCTCAGTTTGAGTGTCTCTTTTAGTAGTTTTAATTTTATTTTGGGAGTCTGAGTTAAATCTGAGGGAAGAAAGAAATCTTATTTACACTAATGAACAATCTATTAATTCTTTGGATTTATTCCCAAGTAGCAGTCGGGCTCAGATAAAAGTTACTTTTGGAACTTAGTTCTTGAAAACTATAAATAAAACATTTGTTAAAAGACTTAATTTTATTTAGAATTGACAAAAAAAAATTTGTTTCTCTTGTAGGTCTGAGATGTCTGGGCTACATCTGCCACCTACGGATCAAGTAGAGCACTGTCAGCAGCGTAAACTTCCCTATATACAGTGTTGCCAACTCTCATGAGTCTCATGATAATTGTTCTCCTTAAAGCCCCAGCTCATGGAGTCAAGGGATATGTGATGATTTCAGCCTTCATTCTTAAAGAAAAAGTAAGTTTCTAGCCCCCATGGCTGTGGAGAAAGCTTCAAAATGTCACCTCCAATGCACCCTGAAGGCTCAAAAAGCAGAAGGCAAATAAAAAACATCAAATCTATTATTTTTACATAATCTCATGATTTTTGAACATTTGGGGTTGGCAATAGGGCTACAATAACCCACCAATGTGCCTCATTCCTGAACTTTAAGTGGCAACCTATGAGGCATTTGAGATGATAGCCAGGGGAAGTTCTTTTGCTGTTACACATATTGATAATTAACATTGCATGCACTGATGGAGAAACCTCACTTTCAGAGATAAAGAAAAAAATTAGAGCACTTACTCAGACTAAAGAAGATTGACAGTATTCATTTAAAAAGACAGGGTGGGTAAGGTAATATCTTTTATTGGACCAACTTCTCTCTCTCTCATCAACAGAATTGGTTCAGTAAGAGATATCACTTCACCCACATTGTGTGTCTAATATCCTGGGACCGACACAGCTACAAAAACACAGCATTAATTTAAAACATGAATCAGTTACAAAGACAATTATTTACAAGAAGTTTGTGAAGCAGAATGAACTGCTTTATAGTTTTCTCATGATTTAGTACAATCCCTATTGACATGCATTAAAGCTACAGATTGATGTGTATTCTTGTTAGGCACACAGTAGAACAAAGAAGTGTCACTTTTCAGTTTCTGTTATACAGCAAAGTCTGCCAAAATATCACAAATGTTCCCAATTAACAGATCATTTCTAAGACAAAGTGGTAATCATGGCAAATAGATACAAACAACAATTAGCACTGCTTAACAGTCATTGATTTTCTATCAGTGAGCCACACTCAAATATGAAGATAAGAAAGGACACTGACATTATGACTTAATAGTTGGCACTAATGGATGGAGGGTACCTATTTTCAGAGATAGACACTCTGAAGGGTGTGGGGCTGCTCTATAATAATATTTGAATACTGTATTGTGTGCTATATGTTTGATTGTTGTCAGGGAAGTTTACTGTATGGATGTTGGTTTAGTTTAATAGCAGGCTGTTGTAAAAAAAAACAAGCAGGAAGGCAAAACAATGACTCAAGAGGTGGGCTTGACCTCAATGGAGCCCACCAAATAGGTTTTGAGCAGCAGAGTCCAAGCACAGGAATGTGAGAAGACAACTTCTGGCTGGCTAAAAAGACTCTCTGGCCAACAGTCAGGTGGTTATCTGGAAGTTGTTCAGGGGAAACAGACTGACACCTGACATGGTGTCTGACAAAGCTAAGCCTTTCTAGGCTCCTCTGGCAGGGTGGAAGGGCTTAGATAAGACAGACAGCATGTAGGCCTTTTGTTGTTTAAAAATCCTCTCTCTCTCTCTTATGTTTTACTTTGTTGCTAACTGTTAAGGTTAAAAAATACTTTTGTTTTCAGAAGGCTGTCTGGGTCATTGTATTTGCCACTGGTAACAAGCTCCCAAAGGAAGACCAGCAGGTGCTGAATGTAGTTGGACCTGCTGGCATAAGCATACTTGATCCAATGTAGCCCATGACCCACTCTAAATGTGGGAGAATCACCACCCCAGGAGAAGTAAACACCTCAGGCTCAGGACCTGAGGGGGTAACACTCAGACCAGACAGTGGTCAAAAGTGCAGTTATCCCTGTAACCATGACATGGTCAAAAGTGCAGTTATCCCTGTAAACATGACAGCCACCATGCCATAAGTTTCTTATTTGGAAATAAAGGATAAAGCTGTCCCCATATAATACAACTTGCCTATGTTTACATTGCTGAGCTCATTAAATATTTTAATTTGGACACAGCAGTGAGGAAGTTTTGGTAGAAGAACTTTTGCTTTCCCCAAGAGTTACATGAATTTTTCTTTGTAAGATGAAGGCAAACGAATAGGCTGCTGACCACAGGATCCAACACTATGTCAGTGACTGGAAATGTTTTATTGGCTACAAATCTTAAGTATTTAGGACCTACCCCTGGCATAGATTCATTCACAGAAACTATAAAGAGCTACAGTGGCATAAATACATTTCCTATAATAGTACATCTCCTAAGTTTTCAGTTTCAGTAACATGTTATCAAACACTTCTAAAAACTCCATCTGCGACAAACAAAACTATTTACCCCACAATAAAACTGACAGACTGTTGGTTTTCCTTTACAAAAGTTATTTTAAGTACGTTGTTGACAATGCAACGGAATGTCACTCATGAAAAGTGGCCTGATTCACTACTATATTGGAGCTGCTCTGCACCACTTTGGGTGCACAAAGCAATCCTGAGTCCAACTTAACTGGCCACTGAAAGATCTCTTGATCACTGAGCTCCTAGGCCACCCTTAATTCCAGCTAGAGGGGCTCTGGTGAGGAAAAAAGTGCTGCAAGGCCCAGGAATGTTCCTTTATCTGGCAAAATCCTGGCTACTGTAAGGGCCCAGAGGGTCACTGGCAACAGACAGATTAAAGCAGTTTACAGGCTACTCTTACACACACCAGGGTCTGGACAACCCAGAATTTGGGAGGAGGGTCCTCAGACTGGAGAAGATAGCACAAGATATTAGTTTAATATAGTGAACAGTATGTGTGCAGGCTTTTTTCAGCATGCTCAAATGTAAGTAATTGCCATGTATTTAGATTAACAGAACTGTAAATAAATAGCAGATGCCTTACAATTAAACTTACAATTAACTGGGGGGAAAAAAAACAACCAAAAAAAACAACAACCTGTATGCATACCTTTCAATTATACCGGATTTAACAACCTGATTGTGAATGACTAAACTAGGCGCAGGAATGTACCATGAGCCCTGCCACAGAATTCAGATCTGCTTGATCCATAGTACAATGAGCAAGAATACAGATCAATATTTTGAACAGACTTTAGGAAGTCAACCAGTAGAGAAGAGTCGCTTGAGTTTTAGTGCTTATTTACATTCCTTACTCTGTGTCTTTTCTTCTTCTCCTCTTCTCAGTATGTTTTCTCTTCCTCCTTGTTGCCTTAGCGTAAATAGGTCATCTGATGATGGCAAAGACACTGGAGTCAGAAAATGGCAGTAGAACACACACCCTAGTACAGGTTTCAGAGGGGTAGCCGTGTTAGTCTGTATCAGCAAACGAGGAGTCCTTGTGGCACCTCAGAGTAACAAATTACTTGGGCATAAGCTTTCGTGGGCTATAACCCACTTCATCAGATGAATGGAATGAAAATACAGTAGGCAGGTATAAATATACAGCACATGAAAAGATGGGAGTTGCCTTACCAAGTGGGGGGTCAGTGCTAATGAGGCCTACTGTATTTTCACTCCATGCATCTGATGAAGTGGGTTATAGCCCTCAAAAGCTTATGCCCAAGTAATTTGTTAGTCTGTAAGGTGCCACAAGGAGTCCTCGTTGTTTTACAGTACAGAATCTGACAGTGCTGGTGCTAGTTAGAGTGCATTTTATTTATTATGAACATTTTCATTTATGAGTTATACTAAAAAAGGGAAAGAGATGGATGTGGGGGTTTTCTTAAGTGAACTTGGTAGATTTACCTGTGCTAAAATTTTAATGCATATCACAGTAATTTAAGAGCTCTCAGAAAACCCAAGGCAAACAATATGTCAAATTTGAAAATGCCTTTTTTAATATTAATATAAAATGACATTCCTAACATTTATCCGTGTCCTGTGCAGAGATGAGAATTTTACCAAGTGGGTAATCTATTATAAAAGACATTCAAAGAACATATATATATATATATATATATATATATATATATATATATATATATACACACACACACACACACACACACACACACACATATATATACACACCTACCTTAATTATATCACTTCTCCATGGCGCTCTGGTGCTGGAAGTTTAAGATGACACTCATTAGTGGGTGTGACAGTGATTATACCTACTTATCTTTTGGATTTCTATAAATCCTGTTACAGTTGTATCTAGTTTATTTGTACTGTGATTTATAGATTTTTTTTCCCCCCTAGTAAAAATTATTAACATTATTTGCTTGCAGCACATGGACTATTTGATATGAATTGCACTTGTTATTCATTTAGTAAGGTTAGTACGGTCTCTAAAGTACTGTGTTATCTGTCAAACTTAAACCTGTAAACAAAGGTTATCTGTGTAAAAAAGTAATTTTAACTTGCTAAAGACACCTTTAAGAAAATGTCAAAGATAACAACAGAGTCCATCATTAGTTTTAGGATGAAGCAGGCATGTATTCAATTTAAATGGCTAAACTTCAAAGGGACACTTTGAAATGGGAAGGTGCCTTTTTTGTATTCATAGAGATTGGGAAGAAGTTATACAAGGTTTGTAGGATTTTAATTAACTGTGGTGTAATAGAGACTATATGGTTATGTGTTTATATTTAAGGTAACAGATGAGAATGTCCAAACATGCTAACCACAAATTTTAAACTTCTTAGAAAAAACTCCACAGGGCAACTGGAACTCAGTCGGAGGGGGAGAAGAGAAAAGAGGACACTGACTACAGATACTGAACTGTCTATCATGTGAAGTTTTTATCTTATTTATCCAATAGATTGCAATCCAAATGCAAGGTCTGAGCTTGCTATACTATCTGCAATATTTAGACTAGTTATGTTTATATTCTGCTTAAAACTTTTTATTATTTTCTCTTTTCTATGCTAAGTAAACTTATACTTTCAAAATAAGTGAAGTTGGTGGAACAGACTGCTATGCTGGGGATAAACTCTGAGAAAGAGGCTGACCTCTGACTTCCAGAAAGGCAGTCAGCATTAACACTCAAGCCTAAACTGGGCAACTGCAGGGGTAACTTCAAAAAAGTGCTGAGACTACGCTGGCTACAGGCAGTTTGAGCAGAGGGAAAACTTCAAGGATGTTAGGGCAACTGTTGGCAATATTGTGCAAAACTGCCCTAAAGCAAGAATGCCCCCAGCATATGGGAATCCTCAAGTGGCACAGCAATGCTGTAACAGCTCCTACACCAGCCCAAACCCTGCAGCTGATGTCAGGACACAGGGCTGCCTCTGACATATCCCAGTGATCTTCAGCAGCCAGAAATGTCCCCTTCATGCTGTGTGGGCAGCTGGTGCATAGCTTTTAAGATGCCTTTGCACCTCCCTGTCCTGCAACTGCTTTTACTGTAGCAGAGGATCAGGGTCAAAATTCTCTAGATGTGAATGTATTTCATCAACATATGTTTACTGACTGCAGTCACAAAAACTCTGAACTGGTACCAATCTCTGTTCAGTTTCAGTAAGTCGGGATATTTTCTTAGGAGATAGTAAAAGGAATATGTGGGTTACATTCCTGAAATGACTATTGCTTCAATTTTCTGAAACACAACTGTGAAATAGGATTTTGATTCCATTTATATTAGAACAGCTTTTTGCCAATATGAACAGAAAAAAACAGGAGTCAATAACTATGTTATGGAAAAGTGTTTTAGCCATCAGTCAAGACCTGATTATGGCCTAACACAGGATTGGGCTTTTTCCCAGATGATTTGCAAAACAGTTATGTCAGACTGGCATGAACTTTACAAAAGTTTTCACTGAGTCCCTCCTCCACTACCCATATTATTTCTGTTTTCAATAGAGAGCAACCACTTAAATCCTATGGGAGATTCTACAATACAAACAGGGTTGCCTTAGATGGACATTCAAAGTTTCTAGCAAAACTTTAACAGTATCATGCATTCCTAGAATACAGTCTATTTTTAAATTTAAAAGATACAGTACATTTTAGAGAGCAGCTTTTAGGTAATATGCAGCAATACTGTTTTATTTAACAAATGGAGTCTTAAAACTATCAAGTTGTATGCTATCAAAAAGATTAGAGAAATACAAAACATGTTTGATGTACAGTTTTGTATAGGTTTGAAATAAGACTTTTTTACGGTAACCCTCCAAATGTACTGGAACTCAATTTTTACTTAAACGTTGTGTGTCATTTTTTTTGCTGCTTCATGATATATATTAGAAAGCCTGGATTTCTTCTTTATTTTTTATTTAAACAAAAACCTAAAAACCCTGCATGCAGGTTAGTGTGCCCAACCTTGTCTTATCCTGGAAGACTTTATGGAGACAGGAGAACCAGTGAAACAAGAGTCAGAGTCAAGAAACAAAGATGAGAACTGAGGGTTTGGTTAGACTAGGAAAAGGAGTCAAGGTTAGTCCTTAGTGTAGAATTAAGTTATCACCTCAGGTTAGCTGGCAGAAATAGACTCTAACTGGCCCAAGAAAGAGGGTTGGTGTCCCTGTGACGTTGCACTCTATATGATTTTATGAAAATATGCTAATGAATATGAATATAATATAACTGGAATATGCTTCATGCAAAAAAATCTCTTGTACGGTATCATTACAAAGCTTATAATCTACTGAGTGTGGTCATCCTATTTGTATAAATGTATCACTTTTGTATCTGAAACTAGAAATATAAAATATAACTCTGAAGGCCTATTGTAATTATGCAAAGTGTGGGCCATTAATGGTGGTTTGGAATCTTGATGACTCCCATTAACCAGGACAATTGACTATGGATGGTTCTGTTTGCAGGCAGGCCTTCCTGTGAGTCAGGCTGGGAGGAATGAAGGCTTGGGGTCTTACAGTGACATGTGATCATGTCACCTGAACTGGAATCCATCTTTAACCTGGTGTTTTTCCATTGAGAAGGAGGGGTAGGAAACCCAGAGGGACAAAGGATTCCCGCCTTATGCAAAATATATATAAGTGGGTGGAACAGAACAAAGGGGGGAGCCATCATGAGAAATCCCCTAGCTACCACCTGAGCTGGAACAAGGGCTGTACCAGGGGAAAGGATTGTGCCCAGACTAGGAAGGCATCCAGTCTGTGAAAAACTTATTGAAACATCTCTGAGGGTGAGATTTTATCTGTATTCAGTTTTATTACTGTATTAGGCTTAGATTTGCGTGTTTTATTTTATTTTACTTGGTAATTCACTTTGTTCTGTCTGTTACTACTTGGAACCACTTAAATCCTACTTTCTGTATTTAATAAAATAGCTTTTTACTTATTAATTAACCCAGAGTATGTATTAATACCGGGGGGGGGTGGGGAGTATAAGCTTTATACAGGGTAAAATGGATTTATTTGGGGTTTAGACCCCATTGGGAGTTGGGCATCTGAGTGTTAAAGACAGGAACACTTCTGTAAGCTGCTTTCAGTCAAGTCTGCAGCTTTGGGGCACGTGGTTCAGACCCTGGGTCTGTGTTGGAGCAGACTGGCATGTCTAGCTCAACAAGACAGGGTGCTGGAGTCTCAAGCTGGTAGGGAAAGCAGGGGCAGAAGTATTCTTGGCACATCAGTCGGCAGTTCCCAGGAGGGTTTCTGTGATCCAACCCATCACAGTCCCCTTCAGCTACCACCAGCAGGCATCTCAACAGCTGACTAATGTTACACTAGAGACCAAAGTCCTTAAATCAGGAGGAGTCCCCCATTGTGCTAAGCACCATACAAACCATTAAGAATGCCCAGTTCCTATCCCCCAGATCTCAATCTAATCCTTATAATTCCAAATGGCAGGCAGGCAAGTATTATTTCCATTTTACAGCAATGAGAACTGAGGTACAGTGTCTAAACACAGACTGGAACTTTAAAAACATATCTACAAACTCTAAATAATAAACAAAACGCCATTTTTTCTCAACCTTAAAATGTGGAGTTTTCTTGGTGTTTGGTTTTAAATATTCTCCTGTGAGAATCATAGAATCATAGAATATCAGGGTTGGAAGGGACCTCAGGAGGTCATCTAGTCCAACCCCCTGCTCAAAGCAGGACCAATTCCCAACTAAATCATCCCAGCCAGGGCTTTGTCAAGCCTGACCTTAAAAACCTCTAAGGAAGGAGATTCCACCACCTCCCTAGGTAACCCATTCCAGTGCTTCACCACCCTCCTAGTGAAAAAGTTTTTCCTAATATCCAACCTAAACCTCCCCAACTGCAACTCGAGACCATTACTCCTTGTTCTGTCATCAGGTACCACTGAGAACAGTCTAGATCCATCCTCTTTGGAACCCCCTTTCAGCTAGTTGAAAGCAGCTACCAAATCCCCCCTCATTCTTCTCTTCTGCAGACTAAACAATCCCAGTTCCCTCAGCCTCTCCTCATAAATCATGTGCTCCAGCCCCCTAATCATTTTTGTTGCCCTCCGCTGGACTCTTTCCAATTTTTCCACATCCTTCTTGTAGTGTGGGGCCCAAAACTGGACACAGTACTCCAGATGAGGCCTCACCAATGTCGAATAGAGGGGAATGATCACGTCCCTCGATCTGCTGGCAATGCCCCTACTTACACAGCCCAAAATGCCATTAGCCTTCTTGGCAACAAGGGCACACTGTTGACTTATATCCAGCTTCTTGTCCACTGTAACCCCTAGGTGCTTTTCTGCAGAACTGCTTCCTAGCCATTTGGTCCCTAGTCTGTAACAGTGAATGGGATTCTTCCGTCCTAAGTGCAGGACTCTGCACTTGTCCTTGTTGAACCTCATCAGGTTTCTTTTGGCCCAATCCTCTAATTTGTCTAGGTCCCTCTGTATCCTATCCCTACCCTCCAGCATATCTACCATTCCTCCCAGTTTAGTGTCATCTGCAAACTTGCTGAGAGTGCAGTCCACGCCATCCTCCAGATCATTAAAGAAGATATTGAACAAAACCGGCCCCAGGACCGACCCTTGGGGCACTCCGCTTGAAACCGGCTGCCAACTAGACATGGAGCTGTTGATCAATACCCGTTGAGTCCAACGATCTAGCCAGCTTTCTATCCACCTTATAGTCCATTCATCCAGCCTATACTACTTTAACTTGCCGGCAAGAATACTGTGGGAGACCGTATCAAAAGCTTTGCTAAAGTCAAGGAATAACACATCCACTGCTTTCCCCTTATCCACAGACCCAACTTCAACTCAATCACTGTAGTGTGTTTAAGAGCCTTCTGGAAAGTAAACAGCCTTTAAACAGAAGAGAAAGTAACTTGAAAATGGCAGTTTCACTCCCATTTAAACTCAGTTTCTAGTCCATTATTATTTGTACTACCGTAACACCCCTAGAATCCCAGATAGGTGCAGTATAAACTCACGGGGACTTGCCCTAGTAGGGTGTTTCCAAAAGTTAAATGATCTATTCCAATTTTGGGATTGGGAATATCTTGCTACATTATCTCCTCATTGTTCTAAATTTAAATATAAATTTAAATGTGGCTTTAATTGGTGTTTGTATGTATTTTTTCTTTCTTTATATAGGAATTAGATACAGGGCTCCTGTCAGCTAATTTCTAAGTTATTAACTGGTGGGGGGGGAGGGGGGAGTTTTCAGGTGCCTAAGTAGCCCCTGGGATCATAGTTAAAGTTGCCTTCCCACCCCGACCAAAATCTGAAATGGTGCTCCTAACATGGTATGTGCACCATATAGAGATATCAAAGATTCCACAGTTATGGCACCATCTGATACAAGAAGCAATAACCGCAGCACTTAAACTAGAGGAAATAACGGGCATCTCAGATATTCCTGTGAGGCTGTGATCTGCAAGTCTTTTAACAACCACCATTATAAATAAGTTTGGTTCCATGCCCACTCAGTGCTTTGAGTCTCTGCTGACTGCCCAAATATTTTCCAGTTAGTGCCAGTTGTGATAGTGTTTTTTGTACTGAGGACATATTCCTCACCAGCACCTGGAATGAAATCAAGTAATTTACAGAGAAAATGAGTAAATACAGATGTTCTTTTACACCTCTTCATTCTTTGGATTGTGGAAGCCACCATAAAAGATAAATGGATTTTATTTCAATTTAAACCTTAAATATAGAATATAAATAAATAATTGGGTAAGAGTCTGGTTGGTTAAGAATCTGGCTGGGTACTGTTAATCTTGACAAATTAACTAAAAGGTGGTAATAAATCTTTATAGATGTATTTTCTCTTTGTGACATTTTATAATTAACCAATGTGTGTTTAAATATGTGGCTATCCATATTCTACATCTCAACAAAAGAAATCAGTGAGAATATATCTGACCCTCTCACCGGATCCTACTTTCCATGTCAGTCTATAATCTTTAATACCCACCTGTTATTCTGTGCTAGTTCTCCCTCTTGCTCCTTGTCTGACAGGTGTGGCAGGCACTTCTCCGTTGACACCTTCAACACCATTAACAGACATCAAGCTTTTCCGCTCTTTGGATGTAGATTTGTGCTCTACTTTTGTGACTCTAAATCTGAAACAAGCAATACAAGAACCCACTTAGGATAGGTTGGTTGGTTGGTTGTTTTTTCTCCAGAAATCAGCTAATCAATCTTCAACATCCCAATGAGGCAAGTATTATCCCAACTACATAGATGGAAAACAAGATATTTTAAAGCGGCTTTCCAAGAATACAGCAGGAGGGAAGTCTAAAGTTGGGAATTCCTATCTCAGACTCTAGTGTTTGGACCATACCTACCTATCTTGAAAAAAAAAGAAGATCTCTAATTTTAAGAAAAGACTACACTATTGGTTGAGCAATCATGAATAGTCCAAAAGCCAAAAAAACAAACTAGAGGGAAAACTGCATCTTCTGTATTTGATACTTACTGTAAAGAAAGTCAAGAGAAGGATGAAGATCTATCTGTAATTCTTGCTCTCTTTTTAGGCAATTGTGTTACTGGATCCACAGCTTTGGATTTCTACTCACACTATGAAGGGATTTTAAAAAATTCCACAGCACAAAAGTCTAAAGCCACCTGGCTCTGAGGCAAAGTATAATTCATTAGTGTACTTGACTAGATTAAAAAGAAACATATTAACCATATTAGCCCACACTGAAGTGAAAATCACTTAATTTTGCTCCTTAAGCATCTTCCATTTCCATCCCCTCAAAGAAAGCGTAAACACTCGGAGACATACAACGTCACAGATATCAGGGTCCACATGCAATCCAAGCACTAAACTGCAAATACTCATGTCAACATGCTGTGCACATGAGCAGAAGAGAAGAAGAACCTGAGTCCAGGTCTTCTGTGGTTCCTATGATGGTGGAGGAATTCATCCATAAAAAAGATCCTATTATGAGGGAAAATTGGAGCTTGTAGACTTCCCCACCTAAGAGTTATCTCTATCAGGGTGCGTGTGGGAGGTGGGAAGAGTAATATGCACACACATGTGCTGGAACCCTGAAGCTCTAAAGACTCAGTATAAACCTGAATGTTATTGAAGTATGGGGACCCATCAAGAATTTCATGACAACAGCAGATAAGTGCAAGACGCAGGTCTTCAGGCCTCATTTCATACCTTCTGGGAGGTGGTACGGGGGGTAGGGATAGTTCAGTGGTCTGAGCATTGGCCTGCCGAACCCAGGATTGAGAGTTCAATCCTTGAGCTGGGGCAAAATCAGTACTTGGTCCTGCTAGCGAAGGCAGGGGGCTGGACTCTATGACCTTTCGGGTTCCTTCCAGCTCTATGAAATAGGTAACCTCTAACCTGAGCAAGGAGACTGTGACTAGGATGGGAAACCAGAGGAGTCGTGACGTGGCTAGGTGAAGAAAATGGAAGAATTCTTCCATCTTGCATCTACAGATGGGTTAGATCAACCTAACAACATCACAAAGGGAATGAAAATTTTCATTGCGCAGAGCAATGTAGTTAGAATGACCTAAGTTTTAGGTGTAGACCAGGCCTTAGACTGCAAGTTCCTTGGGGCAGGGGCTGTCTTTTTATTCTGCATTTGTACAGCACCTAGGATAATGGGGTCCTGGTCCATCACTAAGGCTCCAGACACTAATGGTAAAACAAATTAATAATTAATCATTAAAATTCTTTAGCTTGCCAGTATGCTCATCCGAATCCCAATAAAAAAAAAACTGATCAAAAAAGAGAACTAGTGAACTGACAAAGTTTGGATTTACAGGTCAGACATCTGATGTCTAGGGAAACAACACAATGCCTCGAAAGTTAATTACAGTCTTGCAATTCCGAAAAATCCATGTGCTGGGCTGTGGCAAGAATCGTTACAGAAGTAGGTGATAGCAGCATGTAACTAATCCAACAGTGAGAGTCAGATGAGATAACATGTAAATAAAGCATGAAACGAAACAAAACAAAACAGAACAGTCTTACCTTCCCACAGAAAGTACTGTAACTTCTCCTTGTCGGCTTTTTTTAGGTTCTTTAGATTTGTTGGTTGGCTTTAAAAGGTGCCATCTTTTGTGACTACAGCGACTACAAACATCCTTCTCTACTACTCCCCCAACTGTATGCAAGTGATGGCCACGACAGTTATGTTTTGATGGAGTATCACCTGGTGACAAAGGAGAGCCTGGACTTGTAGGACTGCCTGGAGTGGTAGGAGACACAGGGCTATTTTTAAAAACAAAAAAAATAATTAACAATGTTTAACTTTAGTTGCATATATTTGTTCTTCTTAGAAATAGGGTTTCTTTAAATTTAAATAATTGTCCCACTTTATTCTCTGATCACATACCCTAGGGTTGTATTCAGCTAGTGTTAAATTTAGGTTGTTTTTCCCCTCACAGAAGGTAGTTTTAGCTAACAAAAAGATACTTCTCCCCAGCAGACTAATGTCAATGATTTATTCCAGCCTTCCCCCGCCCCCTTTTACTAGAGAAGAGCACCAGCAGACACCCCCCTCCAGCAAAAAAGGCAGTTTTGCAAATTCACATACACATCTTCATTTTCTCTTGTGAAAAGTCAAAGAGAAGCCAAAACCATTTAGTTGTTCAAATTTTAAGTCAACCACACACTAGTGCATCATCAGCAAAGATTATTTTGAGATTGGCCCATATTTGAAAACGGACATCTCTCAAGTTTGTAAAGATATTTTCCTCAAAAAATTGCTCCAAGTAAAATAAGAGGTAAAACGAAGGAGAAGGAACAAAGTGTGTAAATAATACATACAGAGGGCTGATTTACACACAGGCTTTGTACTACTATAATTATATTTGTTTAGAAAATGGTATAATTAAAAGTGGAACCACCCTCTTCAGCATGGATGCAGTTATACCAGCCTAAAGGTGTTTATATCGGTGCTGATATAGCTAAACATGTTTTATCAGTACAGACACAAGCACCTTTAGAGACTGGTACAACTGCATTCACACTAAGGGTATGTCTACACTGGCAAGTTTCTGCACAATAAGTTATACCACTTTTATTAAAGCACTGGAATTAAACCGCTGTTGCGTGTCCACACTGTGCTCCTTGTGACGGTGGAGCGCATCCACATTAGCAGCTCTTGCAATGGCAAAGAGAGCAGTCAGTGCATTGTGGTAGTTATTCCACTGTGCAACTGGCCACAGGATGCTTTGGGAGGGGTTTGCAATACCTCAGGGGGCAGGCACAGCGTCACATGATGCAGGTTTCCTAGTCCCATTGTTCCATGGGCATCCTATTACATTGCCAGCTGCTTTTCAACTGAAAGGGGGGGGAGGCAGAGGGTGTGACAGGGAGAGTGTGTGTGTATGGAGGTGGGGAGGAGAGACAGTGTGTTTTGGTGGACAGAGAGTGTGTCAGCATGCTGTCTTGTAAGTTCAGACAGCGGCAGGAAGCAACCAGGACTCAGACAGGGTGAGGGGGAAACCCCCAACATCAGCATCTGCCTCCCTCCCTGGGCTGGCTCTCTCTCTCTCTCACACATACACACACACACACACACACACACACACACACACCTCTCTGTGTTCAACAGCACAAGCATTCCACATTAATGGCTTGCTTTGTGTCCCGGAGCAGATCAGCACAGCATGCAAGGGCTGTCAGAAACAGAGCTTTAAAATGGGACGGGCGCATGTCTCCAGGGCAGCCAAGTTCAAAACAATGAGCAGAGCAGCCACTTGAGGGATTATGGGACACTTCCGGAGGCCAAATGATTGCTTTCTGCACTGTAATGTGTTTACGCTGCCAATACAGCACTGGACCCTCTGCGCTGTAAGGCTTACGACTCTTGTTGCGGTGTTTTTTTTGGCAACGCTGCAACTGAGGAGTTTCTGCGCACCAAGTGACTTGGCGGTCTGTACACCTCGGTAGTTACACCACAGAAAGCTGCTTTACTGCGCAGAAACTTGCCAGTGTAGACAGGGCTTAAGGAGGGTTGTTCCACTTTAACTATCAAACTACAAATCAAGCCTCTAGAAAGCTACTCTCTCTTCCCCTCTCATCTTTCAGATCAGCCTCTAGCAATCTGGGTTAGTCCTCTAGCTGTTAAGTGTTGGGTTAGTTTTTCAAGCCCTAGCCTTGTTTTAAAGAATTAAACAATTGTGCAAAGGCACTATGAGTTACTGTCAATTTTCAATCCCCAGTATGATAGATTTCTATTGTAAATCTCAATGCATACACACAGAATTGAAAGTTCCTCAGAAAAGTTTCTCTCAGAAGAGAAAGGAAATCTTAGTGAATCAGAGAAAAATAAGACAATGAAATCAAAATATTTTCTTTTCAATCAATGACTCAGGCAAGTGGGAGCAAAAGAATAGAAAAAACTTGATTAGCAAGTAAAGTAATTTGTGGCAATCTGTACTTTTTCTAATAAGAGATATAGATACCTTGTTTTTATGAAATCAAATGTACATTTCCAGTTTTGATAAAAATGGACACTATATAAACTTACAGGAGTAGTGTTACAAGAATGTATGCATTTTTTATAAAAAAAAAAAAAAAAAAAAGAGTAACTGCATCTTTGAAATAGCATCCCTGTGATTAAGCTCCCAAATGACTGCTATTGAATGTTATTCAATCTAAAACTAGAGTGAACAAACGTTCAGTTATCATAATAGCATTTAAAGGATTCAAATTTCACTGAGATTTCAGTTTTAATTAACATAGAATCATTGGCAGGGTACATCTTGACATGCAGAGGAAATATACACAGTTAAAATAGAAAGGCCTTACCTTTCAGGATCACACACACTGTTATCTGCCACCATGGCCTTTAACATATCAGCATTTGCTGCAAAAAGCATAAACAGAAATTGTTAGAAGAAATGTGTTGCTATGTCCTTGTATAATCAAAAAAGATAGTAAAAAGTAAGCAAGCTGAAGATTCTAATTTTGACCCAGAACCCACTTAGCAAAAGTGCATTAACAGCAATCTCACAGCTGAACTGAAGGGCTCTGAATTAAGTTCCATCTAGACCAGAGAAGTCTGCATTATGGAATCTCCAAAAGGAAAGATGCCAAAGGCATCAACGTCTCTTCCAGTCCTACGATTCTATGAAGTGCCGATTTATTGAAATTTATGGGCGTTTATATTGAGAAGGTAAAGTTACTCTTGCTATAGAACACATATCTCAGTCCCAATACAAAGCACATATACACCTCTACCCCGATATAACGCGACCCAATATAATACGAATTTGGATATAACGCGGTAAAGCTGCGCTCCGGGGAGGGCAGGGCTGCGCACTCCGGCGGATCAAAGCAAGTTCAATATAACGCAGTTTCACCTATAACGCGGTAAGATTTTTTGGCTCCCAAGGACAGCGTTATATCGGGGTAGAGGTGTATTACTGTCTATGTTATGAGAATGCTTGCCATTAATACCATGCATACAATCTATCAGTACTGATCACTCTGTCTAAAAAGCACTCCCAGGCCACAAGTCAAAGATTAGTAGAGTTAATGAATATTTAATTATTTGGATGGATCTCAAAGGAATCATTTCAGCCATCACTAAAATAATGCTGCCTTTTGGTAAAATAAGCAACTGTGTAACAGTGCATACTAGTAGTACACAACCTCAAGTAAACTACTAAGAATTATAGGCGGATCACACATTCAAAGCCACATATTGAGGGCCAGCTACTCCCAACCTGCACAAAAAAAGTATTCCAATTATAAACAAGTGAATTCTGAATTGCCACCACATTCTCTCTTCAGGGTATTTATGAATGTACAGAAAGGCCAGAAAGGCCTTCAACTGTGAAAAGCCCAAGTTTCCGGAGGAAAATCTGGTCCCATTCCCTTAGCTTCCAGGACATCCACATAGATACTAGCCTTTGCATTGCTTTTGGCATATTCCTAGAGCTGTACTGCTACTGGATCACTAGCTCAGCTATTCACTGCAGATTGGATGCCACAAAGGAGAAGTTAATGGTCTAAGGGGCAGTCTTAACCTGTACGTAAATTTACACTACTAGAAGTGCAGTTCAATACAGAGCAGCTACTCCCTGATTAAGGTCCAACAACTCTCTAAAAACCCATGTAATCCCAACTGTGTGATGTTTCAAAGAGCAGATTCCATCAATGTTACAGAGAAGAATGCTACACAGACACCACTCTCAAGTCTGCATAGCTGCTCAGAAGCATTCTTTTCCCCTTCCAAACATTTCTTTCTTTTTCCATTGTTTAGATACAACCATCACAAAGTAAACAGCAGTGTTGCTGTCCTGTTTTCCCTACTTTGCTGAAAACCTTTGCCTCAGTCACACATGTGCAGTAATCGGAACTTGCCCCTTCATTTCAAGCCATTCAATGTGATGGTAGTATTTAAATGCTCCCAAATAGGCTTTGACATTACCATTAAGCAAACAAGCTAGTTCTTTTACCTTCTTTTAAAAATAAGAAAATTCAGCCTCTTGCAAAGACTGCAAAGTTAAAAGAAATAGAAATGACACAAAAAGCAAGTTTGCAGTTTTGTAGTTGTGTTGGTTCCAGGATATTAGACAAGATGGGTGAGATAATATCTTTTATCAGACCAACTTCTGTTAGTGAAAGAGACAAGTTAAAGTTCTGACATGAACCAACCTTCCAAAAGAAAAAAAAATAACTTTAGATAAGATATGGAAAGTCTCATTCTAAAAAGCAATTTCAGAACATTAAGTGTGTGCAAACAAGAACATAAGAACGGCCATACTGGGTCAGACCAAAGGTCATCAAGCCCAGTATCCTGTCTACCGACAGTGGCCAATGCCAGATGCCCCAGAGGGAGTGAACCTAACAGGTAATGATCAAATGATCACTTTTCTGCCATCCATCTCCACCCTCTGACAAACAAAGGCTAGGGACACCATTCCTTACCCATCCTGGCTAATAGCCATTAATGGACTTAACCTCCATGAATTTATCTAGTTCTCTTTTAAACCCTGTTATAGTCCTAGCCTTCACAACCTCCTCAGGCAAGGAGTTCCACAGGTTGACTGTGCGCTGTGTGAAGAACTTCCTTTTATTTGTTTTAAACCTGCTGCCCATTAATTTCATTTGATGGCCCCTAGTTCTTATATTATGGGAACAAGTAAATAACTTTTCCTTATTCACTTTCTCCACACCACTCATGATTTTATATACCTCTATCATATCTCCAGTTAGTCTCCTCTTTTCCAAGCTGAAAAGTCCTAGCCTCTTTAATCTCTCCTCATATGGGACCCGTTCCAAACCCCTAATCATTTTAGTTGCCCTTTTCTGAACTTTTTCTAATGCCAGTATATCTTTTTTGAGATGAGGAGACCACATCTGGACGCAGTATTCAAGATGTGGGCATACCATGGATTTATATAAGGGCAACAAGATATTCTCCGTCTTATTCTCTATCCCCTTTTTTCATGATTCCCAAGACAGTATAAGAGAGTATCGGAATGAAGCAAGCCCTATAATATGCTATGGAAACACTTTAAAAAGCTACATAGTATCAAACTGCATCAGAGAGATTCACATCTTTAATGGAGAACACTGATTTTAAACTGTACCTTCATTTTTCATAATGATGTTGACGATTCGCCCCACAGTATCATTATTGTCATTTACACTTTCATTCATTTCTATGGGGGAAAAACAACAACATATAGTCAGTATTACAGCCTCCTAGAAATTATTTTTCCTATGGTAAAGTAAGGAAAACAGGAGAACATCTCACGGAATATATAAGTATTATATCACTGCCATATTAAAAAAAACACTTTTTATGGATTTTAGTAACAATCCTGAAGACAGTCCTGCAGCCCTATTCAGGCAAGATTCTCTCACTAAAGACATCAGGGCTGAGTTCTTAAGTTCCATATTTTATGTATTTCATCTAATACCCCCTGAAAACTCAAAATTTTCATAAAACTTTGAAATATCAAAGTTCTATCATCACTTTCATCCTCCTTCTCACCTCGATTTTAAGAGAGCAGAAGGAATCCAAGTCTTAGCAGAAAACGGGTTAAAGCTACCACATATGGAATGCATCACACTTGACTAGTAGCAAATTAACGAATTGTTGCAGGGAAGCTTGCACTGCTATACTGTTAGCCACAACAGACTGCAGTATCTAAGACTGTAAATTCAGCGCCTTTCACTACAAATAGGAAGACAGGAGTCAAGTACTGCCAGCCCCAAGTATTCAAATATCACGAGCCAGACCCTCCCAAAAAATCATGAGATTATCTTAAAAATGGAAAGATTTTATAAAAATACTGAATTTTAGATTTTTTGTTTGCCTTCTAGTGTTTGAACCTTTAGGATTTGCTTTTTCAAGCTTTTCCATACAACATAGGGATAGAAATTTTTTATTAAATGAAAGCCAAGATTTTCATTTAACAGCATGACTCCAGGAGCCAGGGCTTTAAGAAAAGGCACTAAATAGAATGAGTATATAAATATACTTGTGTACAAAATCTCTGAATTGAGAACTCTTGGGGGTGGGTCTCACAAAAAGCCTTCTCAAAGTAGTTTAAGGGGTGAAAATTGACCCTCTGACTGTGGATAAGGAATACACCACTGCCTTTCACCCTCTTATAGGGCTGCCAACTTTCTAATCCCTGAAAACCAAACACCCCTCCCCCACTCCTTCCTCGAGGTCCCACCCCCTGCCCTGCCTCTTCCTCCGAGGCTCCGACCACCACCCCAACTGTCCCCCCCCCCGTCACTCTCTCCCCACCCCTGCCTCTGTCACTCACTCCCTCATCCCCTGGGACTCACCTGCCACTTGCAGAGCTGGGCTGGCAGGAGCTGGCGCAGAGCCTGCCCAATCGGGGCACAGCAGGGGTTAGTCCCCAGACCGAGGGGCTGGGGTGGGGAATTCAGGGCACAGCGGGGTCCATCCCTAGAGCAAGGGACTGGGGCAGAGGGGGAATTGGTCCCCTGAGTGAGGGGCTGGAAAATCGGGACACAACGGGGCAAGAGGGCAGACTGGTTACACACACACACACACACACACACACACACACACCCCTGGACAGCGCCAGTACTTACTTTGGAGCCCGGTCCAGGAGCCAGCCAGTTCTCTGTCAGGCTGGAGGGCAGGGAGAGCAGCAGCTGCTAAACAGAGCCGCTCCTCCAGGCTCCAGCAGCAGCTGTTGCTCTTCCTGCCCCCCCCCCGGGTGGCGGAGGCCATTGACCGGAGGCAGCCGAACAGAGGCTGCCAGTTTCCCTTTTCGACCGGACATTCCGGTCGAAAACTGGACACCTGGCAACCCTATGTGGCAACAAAAATATAGAGAGTGTCACTTCCTTATTCAATATTTTAATTTTATTAGAATAGGAAAGAAAGCATTATTCCTAAAGCTACTTGGTCTCTCTGCTTCACTGAGGAGCTCCTGCCTGTCTTCTGAAGAGAACCCACCCTACCATTCCTACCTGACTTCCAGCTACAAAGTTAAAGAAAAATACCCACGGCTCTCACAGGACCTCCCAATAAAGACAGCAACGGGAACAACCTACCAGGCCTAAGCTTCTCTCCTCTGCTCCCAAGTCAAATAAGTAACTTCAGCTCCACATGCTACTGAATTCATGGAACCACTAACACACACTCCAAGTACTTTTTGACAAGTAAGGGGACAAGAACAAGAGTACAAAAGAACAAAAGTTAGAGAGGGAAAAAGGGAAAAGATGAGGGGGAAAAAATAATAGCAACAAATGTGCTAAGGCCTGACACCAAAAAATATAGTCAGAGCACACCAATGTTCCAGTCCATCACAACAGGGGAGAAGAGAGAGGGTGGAAACCATAGTACTAAAGTATTAAATTTACTCAAATAAAATTAAAGTATCTGCACTGTTAAACACACACCAAAAAGTTATGCTTTAATAAAAGCTGGTTTATGGATATCTATCTTTAAAAGAGTTATGCACAGCACTCTATTGCTGCTGACAGAGATGAAATACAAAAAAGTGGTTAGCTACTCAGATCTCAGTTTATAGTCACAAAAGCTATAAAGTATTTTGTATGCAGTGTTGTTGTAGCGTGTTTGTCCCAGGATATTAGAGACACAAGGTGGGTGAGGTAATACAACGTCTGTTGGTAAGAGAGACACTAAGAGCCCATGTCTCTCTCACCAACAGACGTTAGTCCTATAAAAGATATTACCTCACCCATCTTGTCTCCATGAAGTATTTTGGACATTTTGATCCTTCAAAAAAAGGTTTCAAAAGTATATTTTAGAGGACTGGCATTGGGAATTGGTAGAATTTCCTAATAGAGGTCACTTGGTAAGGTTGGGAATGGCCAAAAGTAATTACCATTTGAATGTCTGTTAAGTCAATGTTCTTAAACTATTTAATAGAGGATATATATGGGGGGAGGGGATCATTCCAGATTAGTAACATACTGCATACAAATTAACAAAAAGACATTGACATTACTTACCTATCTTTTCTTGAAGTTTTTCCTCTTCAATTTCTTGCTCGGCCTCTGTTGTACACCGATACCCTTTTTTCTGAAGCACATGACAGATGAGGATCCCCAAAAGGCCCATGATGAAAAAGACAGGAACCAACCCATAAGCAATATATTCTGGATGCACACCACTTCCTGTGTGATCACCGACAGCATGCGTCGTACTACTTTCTAAATCATGGCTTGCCAAAATATTAGGAAAATCTTGATTTCCTACGTAAAATAAATAAATGGTTATGAAGCACAGTTCTAGATAATACTTTGCACTTCCAAGCAGCTCTGACTTTACGCTCTCAAAGGATTGGGTGAATTATGAGCCTGACCCTAAGACCACTGAAGTCAATAGGAGTCTTTCCACTGATGGATCCAGGTCCATTGATGAATTAAGCCACAAACCCCTATAACAAGTAGGTATTCTCTGTTTTACAGATGGCGAAACGAGCACCGACGAGGATAACCTGACACCACTTTAAAAATAGGACCCTTGCAGCTCTTATCTTCCATAAAAAATAAATTGAGATACTGGAAGGATCCATATCTTCCCTATCTGAGTGGAAACTGGATGTAGCACCAAAGATGCCAACTTTCAGCTTTCCCTGGGGGTGCTCCACCCCCCGTCCATCCCTTCCCCCAAGTCTCCACCCTCATCCTGCCTCCGCTCTGCCCCAACACTCCTGAGCATGTCCTGCCCTTGCTCCGCCTCTTCCTGCCCCTGGTCCTCCCCTCCCCCCAGCACCTCCCTCCCACCGTTGAACAGCTGATCAGCGGCAGGTGGGAAGTGCAGGGGGGGGTAAGGGAAGGAGCTGATCTGAGAGGTCCACAAAACAACTGATTGGGGGGTGGCTGCTGAGTACTCACTATTTTTTTATCATGGGTGCTCTAGCCCTGGAGCCTATGTTTAACACAGACCCTTGTAATGGGAAAAACATATATCACCAAATTTAGGAGAGGCAACCTGTTCTTCCCATACTGGGGTGCTACAAGACATATAAAGAGGCTTTTACGGTAGAAGTAACATCTTTTACTCTTCCTCCTCAATTTTCACCTCATACAGATCAACAAGGTGAAAATTATCTTGTTTAACTGAACTTCAATACGATTACTTAAAAGTTAGTTTTTATTTCCTCCCCATAATATTGGCACACAGTTTAAATGCTGTAACTTTAAATGCTTCTCACTGAAAAAAGTTTACATCCATTATTTGCTTATACCAAGTGAAGATTTTATGTACAGACTTTGTCTAATCTGCTCTCTGTACCTTATGGAATACAAAATGTGCTAAATGGTTTAGGAAATCAGGGTGTCATACATGCACAGCGGCTGTTAAAGTGAAAGCAATTAGTCACCTTTAATGACTTGCTACTTAAAATAATACGCACACCCCTAAACTCCATTAAGATTTGTTGATTTCTAAAAAGATTCTAGAATATAAAATCTTCTAAATCTGAAGTAAAAAAGCACAGCTTGTACCAAGAACTTGTACATTATAACGTAAGTGAAAGATTTGTTCTATACTGACATTTAAACTCTCACAAAAATTTCACTAATCAGCTGAATAAAAAAGTTTACTGGTATGGATGTAGAGGCAGATTGGCCTTTCTGGAATAGGAAATACATGCAAATGTTTTAAAGACAGCAGTCAATGTTTCAGATTTTACTGTATATGGCTCATTTTGAAGAGACCAATTTTGGTTTTATCTGTGCACTACTATTCGAGTACTCCAAATTCTTTCTACATAGCGTCTGCTTCTGCTACTAAATCACAGGCAGATCAGTTTGTAGGTCTGCCTTACCTAAAGATATTAAATATTGCAGAGAATGTGTGAATTCTTTCCTTTCCTCTATCATCCCTCTTTTCTCCCTGTCCCATCCCCCCAAATAATTTTGAAGTTTGGAAGGAAAGTAACATGGCTAAATTAGGAAGACCCACCAACAGCCAGTGAAAAACTAAGAAAGGTGTGAGAACAACCGGGCAAGTGGATTCTCCTACCTAAAACAGCCTAAAACAAGAGCAATCTCAAAATACCTGAGAGCCACTTATGGACTAGGCATGATGAAGGCAGCCTCTCTGCTATAGCAGGTTTCAGAGTAGCAGCCATGTTAGTCTGTATCCGCAAAAAGAACAGGAGTACTTGTGGCACCTTAGAGACTAACAAATGTATTTGAGCATAAGCTTTCGTGCGCTACAGCATGCATGCATCCGATGAAGTGGGCTGTAGCCCACGAAAGCTTATGCTCAAATAAATTTGTCAGTCTCTAAGGTGCCACAAGTACTCCTGTTTTTCTGCTATAGCAGTTAAGTCTACAGTTACCTGTGCCAACCTTGCTAGCTTCCTTTGTACTGCTCAGATGCTTGGGCTTCTATCCCATTCATCCAGTTCCTCCTTTTGTTTTCCCCCCCACAGATACACATCTCATTTTCCTTGAATTTTGCAATATTCCTGGATTTATGGTACTGTGACATCAGCAACAGCAGGGGTGGAAAAAGGAAATGCTGCAGCTCAGCCTTCAGAAGTGTCATGACATTTTTTTAACCTAATTCTGGATGTAAATAAGTTTGAGAGAGAGGGAGCCCGTGTGCGTAAAGGAGGAGCAAGCGAAAAGAAACCTTTGCAATTTAGGTTTAGATATTTTGTAAGTATGGACTCAAAAAGCAATATAGCTTGGAATGGGACAAATATTTAAATTTGTATTCCAAACGTATTTAAAAATTTAAAAGGTATAATCCGTACTATAAGGTATGTTAAAGATACATTGTTATTGCAGTACCTAAAGGCAAGTGTCTGAACAAATGGCTTGAAAAAAAGAGGATATGGGGTATGCAAGTCTATTAAAAATTGTAGGAAGTTTTTGCAAAAAGTGAAAGATCTCTAACAAGTTTTTTCTCTGCAGAAAGAAGAGCTCCCAACATTTGTGCAATTTAGATAATTTAATAAGAAAACTACATTTAAGTAAATGTAACTTAGATTTGAAATTCATGAACCAGGTCCTCACTATTCCCTCTTTGCTGGAGGTCTTTAACACGAATGTTGAAGGACCTGAATAGTGATGTTACATGACAACAACCTGGAATTGCAGCTTCCCACAAAAGTGAGCAGGGAAATTCTGATAGAAAGGAAGTGGTGTCCACTAAGGACTTGTCTAGAAAATTAGAAAAAGTTTTACCCACAGAAGTTCTTATGGAATACTGCTACTGACACAGCTATTTCAACAGAGAGTGAACATTTGGCTACTTTTTTTGCAGTTTTTTCACCTCACCACCAGAAGCCACACAGATCAGTGGAACTTCTCTTGCCCATTTTAAGGACAGGGTAAAGGATTTTTTCATATTTGCAAGAACCACACTGTCGAGACAGAGGGAATACAGAGAATGAGTGGAAAATAGCAAAAAAGCTAACCAGATACTGTAGGTATTCACTGACAAACTGCACACAGTGTAACAGTGTTTTGGGGGCCTGTACTACAAGCACTGAGTGGTAGGACTAGATCATGATGCAAATCTGGGATGACCAGCAATAGCTCCAGAACTTTTGTATGTGCAAGGCCACATTCCTGGTGCTGTATGCCACACTCATCCCAGCACGCATAGACACCAAGACAAGAGCTGCTCCGACAGTAGAGAAATGGGTGGTAATTGTTCTCTGGAAGCTTGCAACCCCAGTTGCTATTGGTGGTGAGCAATCAACTGGGCTTTGATGAAAGTCTACAGTGAAGGCTGTTGTCATCCAGTTGTGTAAGACAATTAAACATCTCCTACTTCACAGACTTGTCGGGCTGGACGTGTCCACGAAACAATAGATGATTTGATGAAATGGGACTTCCTCACTCAGGGTAGGGCAATAGATAGGATGCTTTTCCTAATTCTGACCCCCACCCCAAACTGCTTCTGAGGACAAACAGAAAGGGGTACTTCATGCTTATGCAAGCATTGATGGATCACCATAGAAACACAGGCCTGCCTGGAAGGAACCTCGAGAGGTTGTCTAGTCCAGTCCCCTGCACTCATGGCAGGACTAAATATTATCTAGACCATCCCTGACAGGTGCTGGTCTAACCTGCTCTTAAAAATCTCCAAGGATGAAGATTCCACAACCTCTCCAGGCAATTTATTCCAGTGCTTAATCACCCTGACAAATAGGAAGTTTTTCCTAATGTCCAACCTACACCGCCCTTGCTGCAATTTAAGCCCATTGCTGCTTCTCCTATCCCCAGAAGTTAAGGAGAATAATTTTTCTCCTTCCTCCTTGTAACAACTTATGTACTTGAAAATGTATGTCCCCTCTCAGTCGCCTCTTTTCCAAACAAACCCAAGTTTTTCAATCTTCCCTCATAGAGCATGTTTTCTAAACCTTTAATCATTTTTGTTGCTCTTCTGTAGACTTTCTCCAATTTGTCCGCATTTTTCCTGAAATGTGGCACCCAGAACTGGACACAATACTCCAGTTGAGACCTAATCAGCACAGAGTAGAGCAAAATAATTAACTCTCATGTCTTGCTTACACATCCCAGAATGTTTGCTTTTTTGGCAACAGTATTACACTGTTGACTCATTTAGCTTGTGATCCCCTACAACCCCCAGATCTCTTTCTGCAGTACTCCTTCCTAGGCAGTCATTTCCCATTTTGTATGTGTGCAATTGATTGTTCCTTCCTAAATGGAGTACTTTGCATTTGTCCTTATTGAATTTCATCCTATTTACTTCAGACCATTTCTCCTGTTTGTCCAGATTATTTTGAATTTTATTCCTATCCTCCAAAGCACTTGCAACCCCCTCTGAGCTGGATATCATCTGCAAATTTTATAAGTGTATTCTCTATGCATTATCTAAATTATAGATGAAGATATTGAACAGAACAGAACCCAAAACTGATTCCTGCAGGACCCCACTCAATATGCCCTTCCAGCTTTACTGTGAACCACTGATAACTACTCTCTGGGAATAGTTTTCCAACCAGTTATGCACCCACTTTATAGTAGCTCCCTCTAGATTGTATTTTCCTAGTTTGTTTATGAGGTCATGTGAGACAGTATCAAAAGCCTTACTAAAGTCAAGATATACCACATCTACCACTTCTCCCTTACCCTGTCAAAGAAAGCTACTAGGTTGATTTGACAGAATTTGTTCTCGATAAATCCATGCTGATTATTACTTAGTTTTATTTTCCCAAAGTCATAATCATTCTGAATATCACTTTATATACTGGAGATGGAGA